TCTCGGCCGGTGACGACGCGGCTAGGGAAACGTAGGTAAAGCGCTGTGTCGAAGTCTTCGAAGAGCCTTTGCGATAGATCGAGTACGGGGCGGCCGCGAAGGTTGCGCTCGGCGGTAGCGCATAGGAAGTGACGAGTTGAGGATTTTGGAGCTGGGAAAGAGTTGAGCGCATATCCCATGTCGCAATAAAAAAGTACCTACGCTGTATATGGACACACCCTCTCCATCGACGCCGACAGCGATCTCGGTGCGCTTCCTCTTCTTTATGCCGCTAATGCTGCATACTCCAGCAGCGTGAACATGGCCGTTGGTGGAGCCGATGGGCTTGGACAGCGACGCCAATGTAAATGGAGCGCCAATCGGTTGGTCGAACGACATGATGTTTGCCAGACCCGGGTGTCGGATAAGCTGAGGTCTGCGTGAACCGTAGGGTGAGGCGCGTGCTGTGGTTGCGCGGTCGAGTCTCTGTCGAAAAAAAGATTGGAGCTCCGGCAGAAAGGCAGGCGGTGCGAAATCTTGGCGGAGGCTAAAGTGTGGCTCTTAGTGGCGCCCTTAGCGCGTCGGCGCGTCACGTCGCGTGTCCCCGGAAGTGTCTTCGATCATCGTTGACGGCGACGACGACCACACGCCTTCACCCTGCACCTCCGGCTATTGCAATCACCTGCCCCACCCTGTTACTACTACATCTGCTTCCCATTCATGTCTGGACCACTCGCATAATCTCACAATCTGTAAATGGCCCTCACAGCAGTACAATCTGCAATGAATCTAGAGGGCAAGAACGTGCATCCATTCTTTACCAAAACTTCCAGTATGCCACCACACAACTCGCAAATCCCGCGCTTACCTAATCCCTAGACGGTCACGTACCAGACCCAGCGCCAATCGCAATCGCAAACGCAACCCCCATCGATCATGCACTCGACGATCCAGAAACCCTTGAGGCCGATGCCAATTCCACCCAAGGACAGAAGAAGAGGCCACGAAAGGCCGATCCCTCAAAGAGCAAAAAGGTAGCTTCTCACGCGAAGAACCAAGCCTCTCTAGACCAATTCACTCGCCCTCCGACGATACAGAACAACGATCAAGCCAGCTCGGGCAACGCGAACATACCCGTGGAGGCTTCACTAGAGGTCGATCCAAATCACGAGCGGAGGAAGAGGCAGAAGACCGCGTCGCCAGAGCCTTCCATTCCACCAACTTCAGCGCAATCTGAGCCCAATGCATTCAATTGGCACCAGCAACTGCAGGTCGAAGCTGCGCGGCCAATTGAGGTGCAAGGGTTACTAGAAACAGCGTTTCACACAAGCGATATGGTGGTAGATGCAACACAAGAACAAGCTGTCGCGCCCAGCACACAGCCTCTGCCAGACTTGGATGCAGCCGCCTTTCCGTCCGGTCCCGTCGCTGACGACCCTCAGAACACAACGCCAAAGAAGCAGATCAAAGTTACCAAGAGCGGCAGATTAGTCCCAAGCCCACCGAAACCCGCGTTCGATACCGTAGCGTCACCGAAGAAAAGAAGAGGTCGCCCGCGCGCAAAACCAAAGATACTTCCCACCGTGACAGTCATACGATACGGAACCGATGCAGCAAGCCGATCTGCTCTGGGCCAGAAGATTGAGGAAATTCTGAACGCAAAGAAGAAGCTGGCAACGCGTCCAGCGGCTCAAAAGAAGGCGACATCGAAACCAGCTGGGCCGGCCAAGAGCACACATCCCTTCTTTCTCGGCAAAGCCCCGAATGACGCTCTCCCAGCAAAAGTCGTCGCACAATTGCCACCTCCAACCCCAAGGAAGAGCGCTGTGACTCCGGGAAAGCTGCGCGCCGAGACTCGACGAGATCCATCGCCTGAGGGCCCACCGGTTTTCAGGCGAGGATTGCAGACAAGTAATGCGGGAAAACAATCTGGTCTTAACGAAGTCTGCTGGCCCACTTGTGAGAACGCGCATGTCCGCAACCTGGAATCCCCATCGCCGCGTCTGGACAATGCCACGTGCATGCAGTTGCCACTCAGACCTCGCAAGCTGAAGCAAGCTGTGGTAATACTACCGGAACACGAGAATGTGGTCGCGAGGCTGGCGCGAGGCCTTCGGGGTTGCAGTAGGAGCGAGAGTCGATCAGTTTCCGAGTTTGAGCCTCCTGAAGATGTTCGTCTGCCCAAAAGGCTACTTACTACTGGGTCGGAGATCCAGCGCCTGGTGCGTGAACAACTGCTGGCTCAGTTACCTTCTTCAGAGCTTCCAAAGAAGCCGTCCCACCCCGCTGTCGAAGATCTGTTCCGGGAAATTGAGCATTGTCTCACGCCATTTGACGAAGCCAAATGCGAGTCCCAACCTTGGACTCTAAAGTACTGCCCGAAGAGTACATCGCACGTTCTGCAAACTGGCATGGACGCAGTGGTTCTCAAAGACTGGTTACAGAGTCTGACCGTCATGGCTGTAAGCGGCGCGGCAAAAGTCGCTACTACGTTGGACGTCAAGCAGCCGCCACGGAAGAAGCGGAAGAAAGCTCTAGACGATTTCATTGTAGCGGACGATGAAGAAGATGAGGAAGACATGGTCATGCTCCCAGCTGCGGAAGGGGCCAGCTTCACACAGCCAAGATCTTACAGACAACCGCAGTGGACGCGTAACAAGAACGTCGTACTCGTCAGCGGTCCTCACGGCTGCGGAAAAAGCGCGACTGTGCATGCTGTCGCAAAGGAAATGGGCTTCGAAGTATTCGAGATTCACGCCGGTATGCGCCGTTCAGGGAAGGACATACAAGATAAGGTCGGTGATATGACCGGGAACCACCTCGTAAATCACAAACGCAACGCACCGTCTGTGCAAGAGACTGCTCAAGCGACCGAGGACGCGAACGATACCGACAGAGACACTAGTCTAGAAGAGGACATCAGCAGTGGCCGACAAGGGACAATGACCTCCTTTTTCCAAGTCAAGACCGGAGCCGGAGCGATCAAACCGAAAGTCAAGGCAAAGATACCAGAAGTCAGCAAAGGCCCTGCACTCGTAGCTCAGGCTACATTACCAATGGCACAAGCCTCGCGCAACTCGCAGAAGCAATCGCTGATCCTCATCGAAGAGGCTGATATACTCTTCGAGGAAGACCAGCAGTTCTGGGCGCAGATTACCAAGATTGCCTCCTTGTCCAAGCGTCCCATCGTCATCACTTGCAACGATGAGCGACAGATACCCATGCAAGACTTGCCCCTTGCAGCTGTCCTTCGCCTAGCACCCCCTCCCGTGGACTTGGCTACAGATTACTTGCTTGTTCTTGCTGGCAGGGAAGGTCACATTTTGGAGCGGCAGACTGTGAAAGAAATGTATGAATCGAAGGACCACGACCTACGAGCTAGTATCATGGAACTTGACTTCTGGTGCCAGATGTCTGTGGGCGATAGGAAGGGAGGCCTCGAGTGGATGTACCAGCGCTGGCCACCTGGCAGAGACTTGGACGAACACGGTCAAACATTGAGAGTTGCCAGTGAAGGCACATACACATCTGGCATGGGTTGGCTATCACACAACGTCTTCGAATCGCAAGCCAACTCTGTATTTGATAAAGAAGAAGAGCTATTGCAGGAAGTCTGGGCTGATTGGGGTATCAGCCCGTCGGCGTGGGGAGTCTCTGAAGCAACCGGTGTACAGTCATCCAGAACACCCAATACGGATCGGGCTGGCCAACTGAAAGAGCTCGCGCGTCTGGAGGATTACACCGACTCATTCAGTGCTGCCGACGTGTTCTGTCGCGTCGACCTGCCCACATACGAGTCCAGCTCTGACCAGCCTACCGACTCCACCCAGCCACTGATTACCGACAAAGCACGCCTTAGCTATACGCTTGCCGCACCTCTACTCCAAGTCGATCATAGCTCAGACTTCTTGAATCTCGACACCGCCTTCTCCACACAAACACATCTGCTCATCCAGCGTACATACCCGGACCTCTCCCAAAGCCACAGCCTATCAACTACCTCCCATCTACGCACTGAAACCGATTACGCAAAAGCCATACTCCAGCATCGTAGAAACCGACACGCAAATACCACCCTCACACGTCTTGACTTTGCAGGAGCCCTCGACCCTCTCGCCGCACCGCCAGACCAACTCCTTCCCGAGCGCACTTCATTCACTCTCACACCATCGTCGTTCGACCGCACATTCAGCATCATCACGCTCGACCTAGCACCCTACGTCCGCAGCATCGTAGCCCACGAGCAGATCCTCGAAGAACAACGTGTCCGCATGTCGAGCTTACTGACTAGTGCTGGTGGGATAGGAGGCAAAAGAGGTCGGACCACGCGAGCAAGCCGTGTAGCACTCGAAGGTGGTGTCAGAGAAACGAAGAGGAAGGATAGGTGGTTCGATGCCGATGTAGATTTCGAAGCTGTTATGGGGACCGCGGGTAGGGAGTGGGCGGGCCTGGGCTGGAGAGGCGAGAATTGGAATGAGGAGAGTGGGGAGGAGGGTACGGCGAGTCTGGCGGGGACGCAGGAGGGAGTTCATGATGAGGATGGGGATGGGGATGTTGTGATGCAGGGTTCTCAGGCGTGAGACCAAGATTTGATTGATGTATAATGTATATAGATGCATGATGTATGGGAGCGTTTGGCATTGCATTTTTTGGAGCCAAGTACGGATATTAGTATAAACATGTACATAGAAAGCCCGACTAAGAATATTACTAAACACAACACGTTGAAGAAGACTGAATTACTACTTCTGAAGAATTTGATAGTATAGCATTCAAGAATAGCGATAGGCTCAAGAAACTAGCTATGCGATACCCACACGAAAAAGATAAGTCAATCAATAACGCCAACCTGACCCTGTCGGGCAAACAGGTAACCTCAACGCCAAATCCCATGAAAACACACAACACCCTCATTTTCATCCGCGCCAGCACTGATCCTCGTCGCTCCACTCTCCTCCCCTACTCTACAAAACACCACACCACGCACCCTCCAGCTTAATCCGTTTCGCGCCGCTGCCAAACTACGTAGCCGACACCAACGGCAAACTCTGCCTCCCACTATCGCCTCTACTCGACGCATTCCCTGCCGTGCGCATAAGATGCGGACTGACCTTTGGCAAAGTAGGCGTAGATTTCGGCGGCGTCGAAACATCGGTTTCAGACTCGTAATCCGAGGTGAGTTGGGTGGAAGGCGCGTCGTCGGATTCTGCGTCGCTGGTTTCGGTTTCGGGGACGTGTTGGGCTATTGGAAGAGTGGGCTCGGTGGGGGTGCTGATTGTGAGGGAGGGGGAGGCGGGTGACGCAGGGTCGATAGAGGGAAGTGGTTGTGTTGGTGTGGGGAGGGTGTCGAGGAGATCGTCGTCGGAGTCTTCAGGCAGGGCGACCTTGATGGCTTCATCATCCACGACTGTGGATGCGTCGATGGGAAGATCGGCTGGTGGCAAGGGCGCCTCTTCTGCTCCGGATGTAGACTCTACTCTGGCATCTGGCGCTGAAGGAGTGTTTTCGTCGATGCGCTCGTAGAAGAGCATGAAGACATTGCCTTGGTGCGCTTCTTCCTCGGATACGGGATATACGCTGTCATCGCTGAAGCGCCACCACTGTTCTGGCTGTGATGCCGATGAGTCTTCTTGTGAGTCCTCCATCACAACGTCTTCGGCGTCCTCGTCTTTTGTTGATGACTTATCAGCATCTTCATCGCTCTTGGGCTTAGGCGCAGGTTTAGGGTGCGAGCGGTAGCAGACGTAGTGACCGTTACCATGCGAACCATAGTGTGTGACAGCGGCGCGCAGTCGGTATTGGAAAGGCGAGTCTGTCATGGGCTCATCCCTTGCTAGCATCGACTGTCTAGGATCCTTTGGCCACTCCTCTTCCGACGCAGCGGGCTTTTGTGAACCATGAGGAAGGCCACCTAAGCACCAGTTTCCGAGATCCAACACTGATGGATATGCGACGCCTGCGGTGTTCTTGAACGGCATACCAGTATACTCGTTAAAGCTGCTTCGGTTGACGTGAAGGACTAACGATTGAGGCGCTCGCGCAACGACTGCCTGTTTCGACTTTGTGCTCTGCACCCAGTTCTTCTTTGGCACGTTCAGAGTCTTCAGCAGAGTCTTATCTTCGAAATCCTCCTTTTCAAGTGCTTCCTGTACAGCGTCTAGCCTGGCCTTCAGCGGCGATTCCGGCTTGCCAGCAACTAGGGGCGCGAGTGTCTTCTCCAACTTAAGCAGCGTGCATTTTGCGCATTCGACGCCATCGATGAATTCTAGGGTCGTGTACTCGTCTAGACATTCACGGACGTCGTAGTTATAGTTCCTGCCAAGGGATACGGTGATGCAGTTGAACGGAATGAGCGTGAGGCCTTCAGAGTAGCCGCAAGATGTGCAGCCAACGCGCTGGGCGAGGCGTCCCTCGAGCGGGTTCGATGGAATCTGGGGTGATGTATCCGTCGTATCCGATCCGTTTTTCGTTCCGTCTTGCGCTTTCTCATCCAGGTCCTTGGAGTCACTGAGGCTCTTCGTAACTTCAAGCCACGAGACAGACGATCGCCTCTTACTGCTCGCAGTCTTCTTGACCTCCTCGTCGAGCGCATCCAATATCTTGCTATAATATTCCTGCGCGTCCTGCTGCTCGAAAGTGCTCATCGACTTCAACTTGCCACGTATCCAGAAATGCTGACCTGTATTCGCAGGGTCGTTGAGCTTAGTGATGATGTCGAATAACGCGCCATTTGTGCTCTCGGAGGTAAGCGCAGGGTGTGCGGAGGTCGTCTTGGAAAGGTGTTCGCGTAGCGATGGAAGGGAGGCGAGGCCTTGAATAACGCTGTTCTGGTAACAAGAGTTGCTGATATTGCCCAGGCCCGGTGGCACGTCGCTGGGGCCATGCGAGAAGGCGTTCGCGACACCTCGTACCCCTTTCTGTAGAAGATTTCCCGGACTCATGCCAAAGAGGCTACCGAACATGCCGCCCTGTTGTGTGGTGTCGTCGTCGCTGGTGTTGGAGGTTGTTGAGCTGAAGGAGGCACTGCGCATACGCAGGACGTCGGTCGCCATCTCGAGAAAGCGCTGTATAAAATCCCAGACAGGAAATCCGAGTACGTCCAAGGCTTTGAAGAGGACGTATAGGCCGATGATAGCGCCGAGCAGAGCGGACGTGATGGTGGTATGCGACTGGGTTGTGTTCCAGCGTTGTTGATAGGCCTATCAAGCTGTTAGCACGAATAGTAAGACGTCTTAGCACCGCAAGGGAGCTACATACTAGTAATAAGTTAGCAAGACATCTTGAGAGCTATTCGTGACGGCTACTTTACCCTCGAATTCGGGGTACTCTGCGTAGCTCATAGCTGGGTGCAAGGTAGGAATAAATTTGAAACGCTAGGCTGCTACAGGCAGGCTGTGGGAGCGGCGGTAGCGAAAGGCTTTTCCAGGTTGAACTAGGAGTTGGGTAACGCTTGCAGGCGCAAATGGTGGGTCTTTCAACCTTCGGGCCAGCGCATGGATGTAGTCAGACAGAGCAAACGCGGCGGTGTGTTTGTCTGCGACATGAGCGAGAGACTGGGTGCGACAGTCGGGGCGGGCGACGGCGGTGGTGGCGGAACGGCGTGAATATCTAGGCCAAGGGCGAGGCACGCGATTCTGAAGGGTCATCGGGGAAGGTGCGGGAGCGCGCTAGCGGCTCAAGTGGGTTCGCGTTCACGAGCTAGTGGGGACTTTTGGAGATTTTGGGTCCAGTTGAGACTTCTTTCGAGCACCTCATAAAAAAAGCTAAACAGGTCTGCAGGCTACATTAAGCTAAAACTTTGCAAAGTAGGTGACCTAACGTCAACGTAGGCTCTAGGCTGTTCAGCTTTTTCTTAGGTTGGCGTGCGAGTGCACACGAGATTTCACTAGGAAGTATACCACGTACCGTGATTTTCACAATCAATCGCGCGTCTTTGCTCAATCCCTTCACACCACTGGAACTCTGTAGCGACAGCCAGAAACCAACACACAATGGCAAAGACAGCCAAGGTCAAGAAGCGCCGTATGTACCACGAATACACCATCCTCATGAACAACTCCTAACAACCACACAGCGGTGAGCATCCACTCCCGCACCGCCCGTCGCGCCGTCTCCCCCTCCCTCAACCTCGACAAAGCCGCCCAAAAACCCGCCCACACAACCCGCGACTCCGCCTCGCCCTCGCGGCCCTCCAAAGTAAACCCCCACGCCCTCGCCGCAAAAGATGCCGGCATCCAGAAGAAGCGTAAGAAAGGCACAAACATGACCCGCGCACAACGGTTACGCTACGAGAAGGGCCTCGACCGTGCGGAGGAGAATATGGAGAAGCTCGAGAAGAAGCGGATGAAGAGTGTGGGCAAAGAACAGAAGATCAAGGATAGGGCCAAGCAATGGGAGGACGTCAATGGCGATGGCACGAAGAAGACGAAGAAGCAAGTTGCGCTTGAGCAGTTGGAGGCGGAGGAGAAAAGGAAGGAGAGGGAGTGGGTTAGTGATGAGGATATGGACGAGGAGGAGGCGGCGGCCGAGGAAGGTGCTGAGGTCAAAGATGGCGAGGTCAAGGGCGACGGCAAGGAGGTGGATGTTGATGTTTCGCAGAGCGTTCCGGCGCCTGTGGAGGAAGAGGAGATGCTTTGAGTTGGAATAGGCAAGAAAGAAGGGTTCGAACACCACAGTCACGAAGCATATGATACCCAAAAGTTACGAATTGATACGTTCGACTTCTCTTCATCGTCATTTCAACGTCCACACTCGTTATCGGTCGAAATGATGTGCTGATATACAAGCCAGCTCCTTCGTCAATAATAGAGTAATCCAGGCTACCAGTACCGCTCTGTCCCTGGAAGCAGACGCACAAATCATCAACCCCTCCTACCCCATCCGTTCGCATAATCATTATCTGCCTCCACCGCTGCCCTGAGCTGATCCTTGTACGAGTGGTAGAGCTGCCTGATGCGCCCGTTCTCTTCCATAGTATCCACAATCTTTCGTGCCTCCTTCTCCCTCTTGCGATCACTTCGCCCATCTCGTTTGACTAGCTTCTCCGCAGTCAGATGTCCTTCATCCTTGAGGTAGTCTTTGACCCATTGGTAGAGATTGTAGCGCCAGTGGTACAAAGTATGCGCAACTTGGGCATTAGCTTTGCAAGTCGAACCAAGTGGGAAACGATGGGACTCTGGTGGTATTCGGTCTCCTTGGTAGTTAAAGGTTGGCTTTTCGCCGTTGAGGTGGGTTTCAGAGTCGGCGGATAAGGCAGAGTCACTGTCGCTATCGCTGTCATCTGAGGCATTGGCGAGAGGTTCCAGTGTCTCCGGGTGGTAGGGCTGGCCTTGGAAGAGGACCTCGAAGCTAGCTGTGTGGTTGGTTCGGTTGCATGCTTCGCAATGTGGTGACATTACTGCCCTCTCGGCTGCGCTGAGCTCGTTCATTAAGAGCAACGGTCTTGCGCGAATAGCTCTGGTAAAGTCTGCTGTCCAGGCTGAGGAGGTGTACTTGGAACCTGCGAGTCCCTTCACTTCATCGTCCAGTTTGCGGAAAGTCAGCACGTAGACGTTCTTTTCCGCATCGAAAGCTGGATGGATCTTCTTCATGACCATCCACTCGACAGCGTGTTTGAACAGATCCCGTGTTTTCGCACGCGACAGACTGAACGCCAGACGCATTTCATCGAGATCGTCATTGACAGACGGTTCTCCGATCACATTGTCCGGATCGTCGTCGATGAAGTGCTCATCTTCTTGGTCTTCCTGGAACATGTCAAGGGCGTTGGCATCGCGGTCTGACTCTTGCTCGTCGTCTTCGATGTCGTCCTGTTCCAAGATCTCAAGATCACTGTCTGGCTCTTCCTTGATAACCTCGAGTTCAGACTCGGAGTCTGTTTCCATTACAACCGCTCTTTTGCGCCCGGGTGTCGCAGAAGAGGGCGGTTCATTGGTACCAGCACGTCGCCTTTTCAATGCCTCTAGAGCTTCCTGGCGTTTGTTTTTGGGCTTGCCTTGCGTGCTTCTCAGTCTGCCGCGATCCGGTAATGGAGAGGATCGCAGAAACGCAAGTTCTTCTTTCAGTTCGTCTTGCTCCTCGTCGTCCTCGTCGTTGTTTGCACTTCCCTCGCCCTCTTCCTGGTCTTCATCGTCTGACGCAGAATCCCCAAGATTTACAAGTTGAGGCGTGGCTGGCGGCTCTTCTTCGTCTTCTGGTGACTTTCGCCTTTTCAGTCTGCGCCTCGTGCTTCGAGGTGGGCTCTGCTCCTCTTCTTCAGCGGATGGGGAACGTCTGCGGACGATCTTCCGCCTCACGCTCGGTGCTGGGGTAAGGGGTTCGTCCTCGTCGTCCTCTTCGTCTGGTGTCGAGGCCTTCTTCTCAGTCTTTCTTCGGCTGCTGCGAGGCGCAGGCCGCAACTCTTCCTCTTCTGGTGTACTCTTCTTCCTCTCTCGCCGTTTGCTAGCCTTCGAAGACTTAGTCTTCTTTTTCTCATCCTTCTTCTTGCTCTTCGGTTTTTCCGATGTATCCGATCCGATCTCGATAACACGGCGTTGTCGTTTGCGCGGGATGACTGTGACTGTCGGTTCCTCGTCTTCAGATTCGCTGGGCGTCGGTGCTCGTCTCCGCTTTCGCGACTTCGGTTGCTCCACCTGTATTTCGTCCTCCTCTTCCGACGTCTCTGAGCTGACAGAGCCATTGTTCGATCCATCGAACATACCACGCGCTGTGCCCCCGACTGGCATCCCTAACCGCATCGTCTTGTTTGTTCCCACTACCAACTCGTCCTCGCTCGAAGAATCATGCTTGTTGTTCTTGCTCTTATTGGAAACTCTGCTAGGCGCTCGTCTTGTCGGTGTCGTAGCCGTGAGGTTCGGCCGCGACGGCGAGGTTCCCATAGTCGTGGCGGCAGTCGATTTAGTCGCAGGTGAGGAATGGGAGGCAGGTGAAAAGTTGATTTTGGTCTGCCGTTTGCGATCGCGCGCTTTCTTGGGTGCCATCTTGGCGTGTCCAGTCTTGGAGTCTGCTTCACTATGGATGTCTCTCACTGAAGCGTCGGCCCAGATTCTATCTTGCGCAGCGCCGTCGCGTCGGACAATCGCGTTGCGAAAACGTCGCTGTAGATGTGCGAGTGTCGCAAACCCCCGAGGATGAATGCGCGACTATTATATTATTGAAAAGTTTGTAGAGAGTGCTCCAAGACGGCAACAATGCGTCTTCCTTTCGATGACGGTGGGGCGGCAGAATGAGTGCGCATCTGCAAGGCCCCGGCAATTCAGGCAGGCGCGCGAGCACGTGCGCTAGCGTCATGCGTCTACCGTCAACTGCATAGAACGAACCTGTAACACAAACATCCGCTGAACGACTTCCAACAAGCTAACGAAATGCTCCTATGCCTTGATGTCTCTTTGGTTAGACATTAGTCTAGTTTGTTTGATTTCACGCGTGTCCCACTCATCCTGGTTGTTAGCAGAAGTGTCGCAACAAATCAATGTCACCCCCACCCGCGAATCGACTGTCAGGTTTAGTTTCTCATCGAAAGCACCCTATTAATTCCAAGGTTACATGTACATGTATGACTCCTCTTTGTCTAGCTCAGCCTGCTTACTTCATCTCATCTGGATCCAATCCTCCTTGAAATCCTGCTAATCATGCCTAGCTGCAGTCTAGTGGAGTGCTCTGAACAGTCCAACTGGTCTCTTTTTCAGAAACTCTACATCGCGCCTTTGACGCAGACTTTCTTCTGATCGTAATTCGATCCGGTCATCGATATTTTCTCTCTTGCGCCTCGCTTCGAGTCTTTTGTCCTGGTCTTCGAAAGATTCTTCAACCTTTCTCAGCATAGCATCATGCTCTCTCTCAGCGGCTTGTAATACCTCCATCCTCGCTGCTTTCTCCGCTGCTTCCTTCTCCTTAGCTTTTGGAACATAATAAGTTGGAACTAAAATGCCCGTTTTGTTAATTGTTGATTGACCGTACGCGTTGAAACTCATTCTACGATTCGGGGGTTGGACCGAGGGGGTCGTCAATTTTTCGTACAGTGCCTTCCCTTTGAGTATCTCTGGCTCTGCTTCTAGCTGCGGCGGGCTCTTATGCGCTGTCTTATCGGCTTTCGACTTCCCGCGAAGGCTTGGTCTGCGAGCTGGTACATCAGCCACTAGTGGTATAGGAATCTCACTTCGCTGCGCTCTAGTCGTGATTCTCGGCCCTCCACGTGGTTCTGGATCGCACATGTCTATCATTTTCGCAGCCGCTGGCATATTCTTCCTGAAATAGGTTTCTGGCATGCCCCTAGCTCGAACAGTGTTCGCGTGGTCATTCCTCTTCTTCTCCGCTATAGATCGAGCGCTGTTGATGGCTTTGAGGTTCTTTTGTGCCTTTGCCTCTTTATGTTCAATACGCTCAGCTTTTATCTGCTCGTCCCAGCCGTTCCCCCAATAAGAGTTTTGTCTCTGCACCACAGTACCCTTTCTTATAACTGCAGGGGGTAGGCCCTTTCCGTCATCTGGGGGCTCAACCCACTTCTTCTTGAATTTGGGCTCTGGCTCTCCGGCACGCAGAGCTTCCAAGGCTTTGACCTGTTGGCGATAGTTCTTCATCTCGATCTTGCTCTTTGGTGCCAACACTGGGTCATACAGGCCCTTTCCCTCGTTTGGGGGCGGAACCCGCTTCGTCTTGAAATCGGGTTCTGGTTTTCCGGCCCGCAGTGCTTCCAAGGATTGGAGCTGTTTGCGGTATGTGTTCGTATCGATCTTGCTCTTTGGTGCTGATACTAAGTCTTTCATCGTGTTCTAAAGAGCTTGAAGATATCACTTCCGGCGTGGGCGGATGCTATTTCAAGATGTGGGGTTATCGACGGGATATCAGGCGTAATATAGCTAGGTGACGTTGGGATCGTCTCTTTGTAGTTGTGTGCGACTGCAGTCAACGTGGTTAGTTGGTATGCCGATGTTCGCTCCAGGCGAGTACTGATTGAAGTGATGAGTAAGTTGAAAGGTATATGTATTTGTCGATATTATACTGCGTGTTCTGAAGAAGCAACACAAGGATGACTGTGTCGAGGGATACTTATACCTAGCACATCAACTAGCTTCACATACTACTATGTGACAACTCATCTGTTGTATTGAATGTGGCTTCACATACATGTCTGGTAATGGAGTGTGCACGACAAACAGTTCCAACCTTTACGTACAGACTCACGTACCCAGGTTTCCACAAGACATCTCATAAATCAATGCTACAAACCCGCTTGATATCCTCAAAGACGATCCCACACTTACATATGAACATTTATGATCCTTAAAAAAGCTACGCTGCGCCGATGTACAGAGAGCAAAGCGCAAGATACTGTAGGGGAAGTGTAAAATAGAAGAGCGCGCGTGTTGGAAGGGCAGTTTGGACGGACATGTCACGCAGACATGCAAATCAGTTGCATGCGGTGTTCGGGAGTCTACGCTCGACTTGAGATTCGAGTATCTTTTTGTCGAACTCCAGCGGATAAACGTAGAGATGACGGTTTTGGTGATACCTGTTCGCTGTGTACATAGTCCCAAGTTATCGCAAGCGGTGAGAGCTGACAACAGAGTTCGGCTGACAGCACGTTCCACAGGTTCGCCATATTGCGCGACACTGACTGCAGGCGTCAGAATCGGAAGTCGGCAGCGTGTAGTGTCCCTTGGCGCACAGCTGCAGAGGTGTTCACGGAAGGATCAAGCGCGTCAGAGCAGGCTGAACTGTGTTGGTGGTTCTAGACGCGCATGGCCAGAACGTGGGCGTGTTCAAGCTTTCCCGGATGTTCGCCCGCACGAAGCAGCTTGTCCCGATTGCCTCTTGAGGTTGGTGTTCTCCAAGGTTGAATAGATCGAGACAGCTCGATTTGTGTGTCGAATGAACTGAATGCGCCCTCTTCAATTAAGCGAAGCGCATGCACGTGGTAGACTCGACGTGTTTTTCGGACGATGCCCGGCTACAACGGCTGGTATACAGACCACAGGGTCGCGATGATGTGTTCGCTGGTGCATTACGAGGACGCAGAATCCGGTTTTGGGATGTAGTCGACGTTGAACTAAGAATATCGATGTTGTTGTGCGGACTGGGCTTCAGTCATGGTGCAGCTGTCACCGAGATCACGCCATCTGTGAGCCTCAGGCCTGGGCTGGGATAGACGCAGTAGCAGTAGTGAATCTTAGCCCCGAGCTGTCGTTTGAAGCGTGAGCAGGGAACGGGCAAACCATATTCCCGCTCAGCATCGCATGAACGTATTGATCTGGCGGTGCAGTAGCGGCAGGGTGGTTAGATTTTGCTGTCAGTGCTGGGGAAGGCATCCAGCTTCCCCAGTCGCGAAAAGAGGGTCCCCCATGTCTCCCCGATATGATCCGAGGCTGCCACCCTGCGCCGACGAGATTGGTTCATGCGCGGACGAGACTCACCCTGAGGAGGCTGCACAGTGTTCGCGATTAATACGGGCGAGAAAGCCCAGAGCGCGCGTGAAGCAGTTTGGAGTTGCACACGCGGCCTACTCTGCTGGCTTTAGTCTGCGACGTTTCGGGCTGCGGAGTGACTGGGGGCTCCGCGGCTGGTGGTAGTTTCTGACTTTCTGTTTGGAAGGGCCGAAAGACGCGCCAATCAGCGGCGGGCAGTGGCAGTCTGGAACGGCAGGTGCCACCGGGACCGCCTGCATTCCCTCAAGCTTCGCCCAGACACCTCCCACTTGGCCTTGACGCTTAACCCACGACGGCGACCCTCGACCTCAACACCACACACAGGCCATGTCGCTCGTCTGAATCTCCATGGGCTTCTTCTACCGGACACGAACTGCTGCTGGACCAGTATAACCGCCGACCGACCATGTGGGAGGCCGAGTCCTGGCGGCATGGAGCGCCTCTCCTGGACCGTCGCGCGCCCGATGCCACCCGACCCTACGTGAGTATCACGACCGCGACGCCCTCCACGCACGCGACTGACGACCGCTACCAGCACTGTCCCTCGTACAAGCTGCCTGCCCACGGTACCATCGAAATTTCGCCCGGCAACACCATCACGCTCGACCAGAATGCCGTCTTCCGCCCGCTCTGCACCAACACGGCCACCCAGCAGGGCAACATCGACGACGGCACGGGGGGCATCACCAGCGTCGCCGACATGCGCGACCCCTTCCACGCCTCCATCACGCCCCAGGCCTACGCGACAGGCGCCGCGACCGTCATCGCCTGGATGCTCGTCATCATGCTCATCATCACACCACGCACCTTCTTCGTCGGCAACGCTTCGGGACGCTCAGGGCTCATGGGACGACGCGGCATGATCAGCGGCGCAACAGGGAGCGGATCCATCATCGGAGTCGGAAGCCGTCCCTGGCTGCAGAAGGCCGCGGCCCTGACCGTCGCCATTTCCCTGACGCTCGCCACCGCCGACACGTTCAAGATCGCCGAACGCCAGTACGAGGAGGGCTTCATCGACGCCATGGAGCTGCGCGACCAGGTCGTGGCTGGCATGGAAATCAAGGTTTCGCGCGTTGTTTCCGACATCTTCCTCTGGCTCGCACAAGTACAGACTCTGATACGCCTTTTCCCACGCCACAAAGAGAAGGTCATTATCAAATGGGTCGGATTCGCTCTCATCCTGCTCGACATTGCATTCAGCTGTCTGAACAGCTTCGGTCCCTATGAGAACCAACGCCGCCCCGCACACTTCGACACCGCGATCCCCGCCCTCAGCTACCTGTTCCAACTATCACTCAGCATGCTCTACGCCGCCTGGGTTATGTACTACGCCATCACTAAGAGACGATACGCCTTCTACCACTCCATGATGTGGAACATGAGCGTCGTTGCCCTGCTATCTATCATCGCCATTCTCACGCCCGTCGTATTTTTCATTACCGATATCGCCAACTACACCATTGCCGGATGGGGAGACTACTTCCGCTGGGTAGGGGCTGCCGCTGCCAGTGTCATCGTTTGGGAGTGGGTGGAGCGCATTGAAGCGCTGGAAAGAGAAGAGAGAAAAGACGGAATTTTGGGGAGAGAAATATACGATGGAGACGATATGCTCGACAACACCCCGTCCGACTCCAAATGGCCTTCGAAACGCAAGGGCCAGCTATCAGAAAAAGATCAGAAGAAGAGTGGAGGAAGCTCAGGCGGCTTCGGCGTCGGCGCGTTCACATCAGCACATGCCGGCCGCTTCAACGACCTTGCTCAGAGGTTTGGACGCAAGATGACCGAATCGCCACGAGCAGAAGCACGAAAGAAGCGCACCATACACATTCCTGCACCACCCCCGGTTGTGCGAAGGTCCGCATCTGCTGCACGTGGAGACCGCAACTCGCGGGCCTATGTACGAGTGCAGACCCCGCCTCCGGTACCAGTCATCGCATCACCGGTCAGCAGGACAGACACCACCAGTGCTGACTCGACTGTATACACAGTCCGCTATCATCCCATCAGCGATACACCTGTGAATCCCCGGCACGCACCGGCAGACGATCGACCAGGAAATCGTGAACCACAACCACAAACACAAGATTCATCACAGGAACCTCAGGCTCAACCAGCTGATCCTGAGGATCCTGAAAAGGGAGGAGAACTGGAACCTGTCACCAGCCGGAGTAGATTCCAATGGCAAGCTTTAGGAAACCCATTCCGACGAAAAGGACGGACCCCGCCAAAGGAACTCCAGAGGGGGCAGGTCATCGAACCACTCGCAGTAGACGACGTCGCAGCCAACATACCCCCTCGCAACTACAACGGGCTAGCTCTAGCCGATCGCCTGGGTACCTTTGCCGCACAGCAAGGCGAAAAGCTCAGGTCGAAGAAGAAGCCTGGGTCACAGCACGAAACGACTCTACCAGTCACAATCATCCCTGCCCAACCTCGGGGCCAAACCTGGTCTCCGGACATTATCCGCCAACAGCAACAAGCGCAACAGGACGAGTCCTCTGCCAGTGCGGGTACGCAGCAAGCGAGTGCGCCAACTCCGAGCGAACAAGATCAATCTCATGGCGGGACCAATTCAAGCGAGGTCGTCAACCTGTCGGCCTCGCCAAACTCCACACGCACTCCCCGTATCCGGTTCTCGCCGGCAGCCCCGCTTGGTCGCCAACACAACACTGGTGGTCTTGGGACAGAGATGCGACAACCGCCATCTGCACCGAGTTCACCGTTGCCACAAGACGAGTCGACTTCAACCATCGACTTTAGCAGGCCCGAAAATCACACTCGGACAGATCACAACAGGTAGCTTGTCAGCGCACCATCTTCTCTCGCATGTTTCTGTTTATATTTCGAACGTTGATAGCACGTATATACCCCCACATTGAACGGCGCATTGGTGGCATGGATCGAGGACAGTGGAAACTCCACATAGCATTGGCATGGAATGGCGCAATTGGAACTTAAAAAATCTTTGGTGTTTGTATGAGGGATGGATACCCGCCGGCCATAAGGTCAGGCTCTTTGATTTAGGTGGAATGGCGCAAGCCTGCGACGACAGGGGGAGCAGTGGATACTGCCATCTATTAAGCGCTATAGCATGCACAGCAAAATGTCAATATATAAGTAAATCATACGTTTGCACTTGTAAGTAACCCCTACATTCACAGTTGTCAAAAGTCAAGCAGGTGTGCCAAGGCATTGATAAGGCTGTGACGATCTGGTAGGGCATGGGACGGGCGTTAGTGGAGCCCGGTTCCTTGCACCGCCGCATCATAGCTCCATGTTATCATCGCGTGTAGCACCTCCAGTCTAAGCTGTGGCCCTGCATTCTGTCCATCGACGACGTG